AATGATTACATAAAAAAATCATGCAAAAATAGAACATTGTATTCAACAATATATTATGGCTCAAAAATTTATATTATGAACTGTTTATTCTACCAATATATCTACAATATAAATGAATAAAAACATACAAAGTAACAATAGCAAAACATATATTAACATACACAGCACATGTACATGTCATTTTTACAATGTAATCATTTAACCCCTTAACGAGCTAAATATCTTAAATGGACTTGCCCATCTTTCACATTTATCATTTTCAAAAAAAACTTTCAAAATACTGACTGAATAGCAAATAGTACAGACCATGATTTGACAGGAAAGATGTACTGGCTGATGTAGGTCTACACTGGTCACATAGGTAGCACCTTTTGCTGCCAGCAGACTAAGAGTGGAATAAAGGGGAATAATTCACCTACTAGTTCAGGTCCTGCCCATTTTGTTGTTTTGGGGTGGGTTTTTTTTTCTCTCTAGAATGAAGAATTTATGTTCATGTCAAATATGAGTAGATTACTGAAAAAATATGTTTTATATCCAAATATGCAAACATACTTGAATATTTTTTCTTAAAAAAATACTTTTGTCAAGCAGTAGAAATTATTTCAAAATTACAATTTACAGAAATATACCCTTTCATAAATTAATCAAAAATTTCAATTTTATGAAATAAATTGTTTCTATATAAAATCACAAAGTTGTATTAGATTTTATCAATGAAATTCACAAAGTTTTTTTAAGAATTTTTATAAAAAATTCACAAACTTATTTTAACTGCAAAAAACAAAATTAGAAAAACGAAAACAAAAATGCACTGTGTTGTCACAAATGTTCTTGAATTTTATTCACGTGGATGAAAGTTGGAAATTTAAATGTTCATAGAAATCCTAAAAATAACATTCCTTTTATATTATATTCAGACAAACGATGACTCAAGTCTACGAAAATGTTGATTATCAGAAATAATCTTGAAATCTTCCACCCATGTATTAAGCAATGAAAATATACCTATGTAAACTATTACACAGCCATACCAGCCCATCTATCTATAGCCTGATGAACCTCTTCACACGCTGCTGGTCAATTTTGATCTTATAATCCCTGATTCATAACAAGAAAACTCGAAGATAAAAGCAAGGAAAAAAAAGCATACTACAAAAAATCAGCGGGGTTCTGTTTAATATAATTTGATGATATACAAATAAACCGATGTTTCTTTCATGTATTTTATAATTTACAGCATATATGACTTATAATTTCACATTTTAAATGCAACTTGCAGGCATCAGAATTGCTCAGAATGATTCAACTGTAACAATACATTACTATAATATACAAAGCTTAGAGCATTGGAAAAAAAAAATATGTTCTAATTTCACATTGCTTACAGCATTGCAAAAATAATTAGAGAATAAATCAAGCATCAAATATTGGAATGTCATGAAAAGATCACGCAAACAAAATAATATCTTGCAGTGGGAGTGAGTAAAGCACTTTTTTATATATTATATATGTAAAATCGCATAAAATGTTATATGACAGTATGTGTATGTTATACACTCGAAGGTAAGGTAAGTTGTGGATGCAACAAAATAAGCAATTTACATGTTCCGTACTTAAGATGAAAAAAATCATGCAAAAATGATTTAAAAAAATAATACAAATACTACATTATTTTTCATTTCATCAAATATTACTAAATCCTTGGGTTCACCATTTTATTAATAATACATATACAATTGAAAGCTCAAGTATGCTAGAAAATGGGGGCAGTCACCCAGTCAGACGGTAAAAATGTACCAATTTTTAACATACTTACAAAATTTGCTTAAATTGACATAAAACCCCCCAAAAAATCCCTCTGATTCTATATTTAGCCATCTTAAAAATTAAGATATAACTTCAAAATGGCTGTAATCCCCACAAACTAAAACATGTATTATTGATTTATAATACTGAAAATTTGTAATGTTGATGCAGAAAAAAACTATCATAATGTTTATATTAATTGTTGGAACAGCAACTGAAGATATTAATGCTACAAAAAATCGTAATGCATACCGGAAACTAGTAGCTCTTTAATATTTTTTTAAACATGTTCCTCTCATATTAGTTACTGTAATAATTTTTATGTTGTTTAAATTTCTTTTCACACTATTATAAATTCATTATAAAGATGCTTAACAGCTTTTATGGTCATGTATAACATATTGCTATATAACACTAACCTGAAGGTTAGTATCATATTACCCTATAATCAGTTAAGTTGTTAAGTCATGTTTATAATTACCATATTTTCCAGACAATAGGCCGCTGCACTTTATAACTGCAACCTTTCAAATTAACCATTTCAAAAATAAAAAACAATTGTCCAGGCTGCTCTGGCACATAAGACACTGCCCGATACAGCAAATACAATGTATGGTAATAAAATATACATTATGTCATCAAAATTCAATAAATATGGTTTCTTTACAATACAAATCAGTTGTTCTCATAAAAACAGAGATTTTTTTAAAGGTATAGCTCAAGTAGTATTTAACTTGTTTAAAAAAATATGGCAAATTCTTAATAACTAATAATTACATATGAAAATCTTTTCATACATCTACATTTAAAAGGTTGATGTTTCTTATTGACCATAATAAAGCATTGAACAATATGACTCATGATTTAAATGTGGTGGAAGACATGAAAATGGGTTAGTTTTCTTATTTGTTTTTTAAAGATAAAGCTACAATACTAATTAACACTTTTTTGCACTATGTACAATCAATAAAATGATCTAAATATTGTGTCAACATAACTAAAACTAACAAATGAAAACATTGAATATCTAATTTCCTAAAACCTTACATGTATTTCTTTAAAGCTAGTAACCCATACACTGTGGTTTGTGAATTTAAAGATGTGTAAAATTTCAAATAATCACCTGTATTTCAAAGACTGGTTATTCCCTCAATATAATGAATTTCACAAACTAGCTGTTTCATCCATATATTTCACAAACTAGTTATTTCACCCGTATTTCAAAGACTGGTTATTCCCCAATACACTGTTTTTTACAGACTGGCTATTTCATGCATATTTCACAGACTGGCTATTTCATGCATATTTCACAGACTGGTTATTTCACCCATATTTCACAGACTGGTTATTTCACCCATATTTCACAGACTGGTTATTTCACCCATATTTCACAGACTGGTTATTTCACCCATATTTCACAGACTGGTTACTTCACCCATATTTTCAAACTCCTCACACTGATTACCTCCCTTGGCAGAATTGTAATCACTGCCTTCACAGACGTCACATGATGATAAAAGTCACATGACGTAACGTCGAAATTCAAATGTAAATATCGACCGTTACATAGAAAATCTAACGTCATTTTGCTCTTTCTGTTTTATTTTTAACTTTTTGTACCTACGTCCGTTATATTTTATCAAAAAATTATCAAAAGTTTAGAAAATAATGAAAAATAAATTAAAAAGCTAAAAAATATAAATATCCAAATATTGATATTTCAATGTTTGTGATGGCAGAGATCTCTGTACTGATAAGGGGAGATCACTGCGTAGGAGATTGCCATATTTTACATACTGGTTATTTCACCCATATTTTACAGACTGGTTATTTCATCCATATTTTACAGACTGGTTATTTCACCCATATTTCACAGACTGGCTACTTCACTCATATTTCACAGACTCGTTATTTCACCTATATTTCACAGACTGGCTATTTCACTCATATTTCACAGACTCGTTATTTCACCTATATTTCACAGACTGGCTATTTCACTCATATTTCACAGACTCGTTATTTCACCCATATTTCACAGACTGGCTACTTCACTCATATTTCACAGACTCGTTATTTCACCTATATTTCACAGACTGGCTATTTCACTCATATTTCACAGACTCGTTATTTCACCCATATTTCACAGACTGGCTATTTCACTCATATTTCACAGACTCGTTATTTCACCTATATTTCACAGACTGGCTATTTCATCCATATTTCACAGACTCGTTATTTCACCTATATTTCACAGACTGGCTATTTCATCCATATTTCACAGACTGGTTACATCATGAGAAAACATTTTTAATAAAATTAATTGAAAACTTATTTTCTTTGTTAATGCACATCCTTAGTTTCTGAAGAATGTTTATTGGTTCAAAAACACAGTCCTGAGTCTTTTCAACAAACAACAATGGCATTTGATAAAAGTGAAAAAAGAAATGCTATACAGTTTCACAGTCTTAGTATTTTTGAAGACCATTTGAAAATTGTTTAAGAATACTCTCTTTAATAGGTATAATTTTATACTTATGTTTACAGAAATGTTGAAACAACTGTGTGTAGGTTAGCAGCTTTACAAGTGTAGTTGTTAAAGGAAAAAATAACTTGTCACTATTACAGAAAAAAAGTGGTTAACATCAAACACAATTCAAGCAGGATTCTAATACCAACACCAAGGTTTTCAAACAACAGGCCACCATTTCTATATATTTACAGAACTTGATGATTGATTTATGTGAATATATTTTTTAAGCATTGTTAACTTGATGCTGATTGGTTCCATCAGATATACATAGTAGTCCTTTTAGAACTTTGTAAACTTGTAACTGATTGGTTCCATTGAACATACTGTATTCCTTTCAGAAGAATGTTACGATGATGCTGATTGGTGCCTTCAGATATATATCTTAGCCCTTTCAGAACTATGTAAACTAGTAACTGATTGGTTCCATTAAACATACTGTATTCCTTTCAGAAGAATGTTAATTAGTTGCCAACTGGTTCCATCAAATAAATTTTATTCTTTTTGGAACAATGTTACTTGTTGTTGATTGGTTCTTTCAAAATCTTGTATTCCTTTCAACGTAATAATATAAGCTTCTTGTTTGTTTATTGGGCATAATTATTTCTTTAAATTTCATTTGGAAATAGTATGTTTTGTTTCCTTTTTTGTTCTGCTTGAAAGTCTATTCCCAGTCATCAACACATTGTAAGCAAGTTACTGATTGGTTGTATATTTCTTTATTTTTCCCTGTTCATTGGTCATAAGCACATTGTAAACAAGTTACTGATTGGTTGTAAACACTCGTATTTTCCTTTTTTTTTATTGGTCATCAGCACATTGTAAGCTTGTTACTGATTGGTTGTTTCAAATGAAGTTCACTCTCCTGTGATACAATTGGTATTTTCTGTGTTCTATGGAACTGTATCAAATGAGGTACACTGTCAAATGAATGGTCTTTTGTCCTCACCTACAAAAGCATCATGCATATGAAAGATGTTAGCAATAAGATACACTTTGCGACAAAGGCAGTCATGATAGCCTCAAGCTGCAAACTAGGCCAGACTCAAACATTGATGTTGCACTAGAATTACAATAAGATTTTATGGTAACTTAAATGGGAGAACAAAGAAAAATATCTGAAGAAAAGGGAATTATTCATACTTATATAATTATGATAATGAGCCATGTATTCTTTCTAAATCTTCTGGGACAAAACCTTTCAACAAGTTAAGACATACTTAAAATATTTCTAATTTTTAAACACAAAATGTCAAAAAAAAAAATGCAAACAATATAAACTAACATACCACTCCCATTGGGTCCACCAACAACAGATGTTTAACCATGCCGTTCTGTCGGCCACTGAGTACATACTGATTCTGATCAGCCGAGCTTTGTCGTACAAGAAAATCCCCATCATTCTGTAACAACTTCTCAGCCTTAAATGTATAAATATTTATGACAATATCATACCTGAGAAAAGATAACATTTTACATGTGAACCTGTACTGTTTCGATTTTTAGTGGTTTTTTTTTGCAACATGTTTATTTACTTTTAACTGCGTTTGCCTCTCAAGTAAGATGATGTTCAAGTCAAGCTCCAAAAGGTCATTTGTACATTTATTCAATGACAACACCAGCAGTGAACTTGAATGTAGTTCATATACACCCCTATGCATTCTTCACAACAGAGATTAAAGAAATTTGCTAAAATAGTAAACTTAGTTTCTTCACTAAATTAATTATTATCCCAATCACTTTGTTTTCATTGATCTTGGGAGGTCTTACATTTTTTATTTATTTTATAAAGAAGCAAATGTTTCATAACTTACATCTTTCCTGCTTAGGTTACCATGGAACCATTCTTCAAAAATTGGTGATTTATTTGGTGCACCATTTCCATTGGCCATGTCCCCTCCCCCGGCTGCCCCACCTTCTGACTCTCCATGTCCGTTGGACAGGGACGAGTTGAATGGCTCTAAAAAAAACAAGAAAGAAAACTGGTCTGTTGTATGTTTTACAATGTAAATGAGTCAATAAACTGCAAATATGCATTAACTTCTAAATGAATACACAACTATAAAAAAATGGTAATGAACAAAAATGTTAGTTTATCATACATTTCTTTTCAATCCATAATAAATAATTATGTATTATGCAAGAACTAACTGACGAAAGATATAATAATATCCTGCTCTTAATCAACACCTGCTTACAGTAGATATAGGAAAATCCTGCTAGTAGGTAAATTACTTAGCAGTAACATGATACAGTCTTGATCTTGCCTTTAAAAGAAAGCTACACTCGTGCCTTATATACCAATCTTACTAGCAACCAGTGTTAGATTCATTTTTAATAATGTTAATTTCTTTATTAATTGGAACTGAACATACAAAGGGTACTGAAAAGAGACGAACGCAATGAGTATGTTTATACTGTCTGAGAATTGCATGAATGTGACTTAATTAACAGTTACAATGACCCATATCTAGTCTGTAATATAAACCCAAAGAATTATAAATTTGCAACAAAAACTTTAGCACCTATCTTTAGAGCTGCCATGTGTAGAGCAATAAACACTTAACAACATTAATACAGAATGCTTAAAGTCTTCTTAAAATAAGACTTCTTAATAAATATAATCTCACTATCGTAACACCTCACAGCAACAAGTATAATATCTTCATCTCCGGAGGGATGTTTCCCTGCTGAGGTTGTACTGTATTTCTAAACACTGACTTACCCATATCAAATGGATCCAAGGTACTCTGTGGAGAAGCTAGACCACCTTTCAGTTTGTGGTTATCATAAAAATCTGACTGTGTAGGTTCAAACTCAGTCATAGCATTATTTGAAGTTTTTTCTGAAGAAAAAAAAATAAATGAAAAAAAATCTCTTGTAAAGAATATTCTCTTTGAAAGCAAGTTGTGATGATAGGTGTCCTTGACCATTATTGATCAGTTTACGTCCAGGCCCCTGAGGTTATAAAACTTTTATTTGAGTCTTGTCTCAAATCTCAGGATTTTCATTGGTCAGTGTACATTCTGTGGGAGTTTCTGACCAATGAAATTACTGAGATCTAAGTTTGAGCTAAGAGAATTAGTTTATAACTGAGGCCCCAGATCAATCTGTGTATCTGTATAACCTGATGAGATACTATCCCGTAACCATGGTAAAAGTTTGAGTTATAGGACACAATGTTGACTTCAGTCTTAAATCTTTGATTGTACATGTAGCTGTTGATATATTCATTCGATAGAGGCTCATAAGAATGACTGGGCATCTTTTAACAGTTTTTATTATCACACAGCCGGGCGGGGAAAAAACTTTCGTAACAGTTTTCTCGACAACTACTTGTTACAGCCTTTTGATATTTGGTATACAGCATTAACACATAGTCCCATACTGTGTGATTCGATTTCAGGTCTGTTGCTCATCCACTTCCTGTTTGCCGACTTAGTTAAATTTTGACATTAATGGTTGGAAATTTTCGTAACAGTTTACGCAGCAACTTCTTATCACAGCCTTTTGATATTTAGTATACAGCATTATCACGTGGTCCTATACCCTGGGATTTGATTTCAGGTCTGTAGCTCATCCACTTCCTGTTTACCATCTTAGTTAAATTTTGACATAATTAATGATCAATAGATAGTAGGAAATTTTTGTAACAGTTTTCTCAGCAACTACTTACCACAGCCTCTTGATATGTGGTTCACAGCATTGACATGTGGTCCCATATTGTGGGATTCCATTTCAGGTCTGATGCTCATTCTTTTCCGGTTTACCAACTTAGCTAAATTTTTAACATCAATGGTCAGACAGTGGTAGAAAATTTAAGTAACATCTGATCACAGCCTCATATTTTGTATACATATGCAACCCGGCCTTTTCTGTCTTTGACCCATTTTTAAATATCATGATCATCATCACCAAGACCATCACAACAGCCATCATCGTCATTATCATCATTATAACAATAATCAAAACATCTTACCTGAGTTATCATATAGGTTTTTTCCACCATCTTCACCAAAATCTATCAATGACAATTCCTTTGGTGTATCGTATGTTGGGCCGTTCGGTTCTTTAACTGATGAATACACTCCATCACTAACCTGATTTATAAAACACAATATTTATATAGTGTAAAGTACATGATACTTTGTTCCAATAAACTTTGAGAGAGTAAAAAAAGACCTGTTGGTAGGACAACATACTTAATTATTCTCAGTGCTTGATAGTAAAACAAGAACCTGAATAATGTAGAATTTTCTTACTTCAAAAAGAGCATAATTCTATTAAAATCCATATTAGGGTTATGGACCATGATCAGTGACCACCTCTATGCTCTCCACTAAGTGTATGAAATTTCAACCCATTCCCTTTTGGTAATTTTGGTGACACCACCTTCCACACAAAAACTTAACCAATTTGTTAGACCTGGGTGAATACAATAGCTCTCCTTATTCCTCAAATAGTCAAGCACATATTAACAACTCACTCTGATAAAGGTAAGTATTTAAACATTTATTGCATATCTTTTAAAAGATAATTAAAAACTTATAATTGAGATTTCACAATGAAAACATCAAATGAGCCGTGTCACGACAAAACCAACATAATGGGTTTGCGACCAGCATGGATCCAGACCAGCCTGTGCATCCGCGCAGTCTGATCAGGATCAATGCTGTTCGCTTACAAACCCTATTACAAGTAGAGAAACTGATAGAATCTGGATCCATGCTGGTCGCAAACGCATAACGTTGGTTTTGTTGTGACGCGGCTCAAATAGAACTTCACTGTAATCAACCTATATTTAGAGGCTTATCTATCTGAATCTGACTTGACTATCTCTCCTGATAAACCCAATTAAACCAAGCTGTTATAAACTTACGGGTAGATTTGAGGGTGGGGTAGCATATTCTGATGGCACACGTCTTGGCGGTGACGGGGGTCGGGCTGATGGATTATCGTTGTAGTAGTCGTTTTCTTCGTTCTCTCCCCATGCATCTCCTTCTTGTATAGATTGTTCTAGTCTATCATATATTGAACATTTTTAATTAAGTCTGGGTCCAATACTGAATTTTTAATATTATATTAAGTTTTTCCTCTAGGCTGAAAGTGATAGCAAAACTGCTGGCAATTTTCCAGCTTAATTGGGCTTTAGTAATGGAAGAACACTTTCAAGTGTATAAAGCTATATACCAACTACCTGCTGTTAACCAATTTTTTTTTGACAAAGAAAAAATTCCAAAATACCTGTATGAAAGAAATATGTTTGAAGAGTGTGTTAAAATAGCCGCACATAATTATTTTTTCTTGAACATTTTATTCTGTTTACCTACAATATTTATGTGTATTAAATAACAGAGACCTAATATATTACAACTGTTCCGGGAACAATATAATTTTAATATTTATAAAGTTAATTAAACAAGAGGGCCATGATGGCCCTGAAGTCCCTCACCTGTATATAGGCCCCCAAAGCGGGGCCAGTTTAAACCCCAGGGCTTTTATTTGAACAAACTTGGTTGACACCCATTAGAAGATGTTTCATGCTAAACATCTAAGGTCTAGCTCGTTGAGTTTTTAAAAAAAAGATTTTTTAAGTTTCAACTATACACATATAGATAAAAGCAATGACACCCCTAGGGCGGGGCCAGTTTTGACCCCATGGCTTTTATTTGAACAAACTTTAAAGATACTCACTAGAAGATATTTCATGCTTAATATCTAAACTCTAGCTATTTGTCTTTTTCAAAGAAGATTTTTAAGTTTTTGCTATTCACATATACGGAAAATTAATGTCCCCGGGGCAGGGCCAATTTTGACCCTAGGGCTTTTATTTGAACAAACTTTGAAGACACTAACTGGAAGATGTTTCATGCTTAATATCTAAACTCTAGCTATTTGGGTTTTTTCAAAGAAGATTTTTTAAGTTTTTGCTATACACATAATTAAAATCAATGACCCCCGGGGCGGGGCTAATTTTGACCCAATGGCTTTTATTTGAACAAACTTTGTAGACACTCACTAGAAGATGTTTCATGCTTAGTATCTAAACTCTAGCTTTTTGGGTTTCTTCAAAGAAGATTTTTTTTAAAAGTTTTTGCAATACACATACAAGAGGGCCATGATGGCCCTGAAATCGCTCACCTGCATATAGGCCCCTGGGCCAATGCCAATTTTAAACCAGGCACTTTTATTTGAAAAAACTTGGTAGACAGCCATTAGAGGGTGTTTCATGATAAATATCTAAGCTTTAACTCTAGAGTTTTTACTATATACATATAAGAGGGGCCAATTTTGACCCCAGGAATTTTATTTAAACAAACTTGGTAGACACCAACTAGAAAGTATTTCATGCTTAGTATCTTAACTCTAGCTCTTTTGGTTTTTTAAAAGAAGACTTTTAAGTTTTTACTCTCTACAAATTATTGAGAATCAATGACCCATGGGGCGAGACCAATTTTTACCCCAGGGCTTTTATTTGAAGAAACTTGGTAGAAATACTCTAGAAGATGTTTCATCCTTAATATCTAAGCTCTAGCTATTTGGGGTTTTTAAAAGAAGATTTTTTAAGTTTTTACTATATACAAATAAGGAAAATCAATGACCCCCCAGGGCAGAGCCAATTTTGACCCAAGGGCATTGACTTGAACAATCTTGGTAGACACCCACTAGAAGATGTTTCATGCCAAATATTTAAGTTCCAGCTCTTGCAGTTCTCTTAAAGAAAATATTTTAAGCTTTCACTATATACAAATAAGGAATATCAATGACCCCCCCCCCCCCCCGGGCCGGGCCGGGCCAATTTTAACCCAAGGGCTTTTTTTAACAAAAAAAGAAAATCAATGACCCCCCAGGGCGAGGCCAATTTTGACCCCAGGGCATTTATTTGAACAAACTTGGTAGACACTGACTAGGCGATGTTTCATGCCAAATATTTTAGCTCTAGCTCTTGCGGTTTTCTAAAAGAAGATATTTTAAGTTTTTTCTTTTGGTTGCCATGGCAACCAGAGTTCTGCTTGGAATTAAATTCTTTGAACAATTTTTAAAGTTGACTACCAAAGGAACATTCCTGTGAAGTTTGGATGAAATTGGCTTAGTGGTTTATGAGGAGATGTCGTTTAAAGTAAAAGTTTACGGATGGACGGACGGACGAAAAGCGATCACAAAAGCTCACCATGTCACTTTGTGACAGGTGAGCTAAAAAACCATGATATATAGCTTTATACCCTTGAAATGCATGTGACTGCAAAAAAAATCTCATTTCTCCATTTAGTAATGAATAATCATGTTAAGTGAAGTTGCTTTAATACTACATGAATAACATTTTGCTGCTTTATAGTATCATTTAATTGCACAAGAAATAAAGTTTAGACGGAAAAGTGATGAACTTACATATCTTTATAATCAAATAGGAACAATGACTCAATGACCGTTCATTGTTCTAAGTGAGATTTATCCCATATGAACTTTTCACTCAAGCACTTCAAGTATATCAAACTAATTATTAAGTGCTAAATATATTACATTGTACTTTTGATGTTAAGAATTACTCATATTGTACTAAAATACCAAGCTATCAAAACTTTTTTCCTTTCATATATAGTCAATACACTTAAGCATTGTTATGTTAAATATGTTAAATGTAGTATGTACTTTGGACAAAATCATTCATCATTTTTAGGCAAAAAATCTCATTATCAATAATGACTGAATAGGAAACAGTGCAGTCTATGATTAGATGACAAGGATTTGTCTGTATATGTAGGTTTGTACTATCTTGGTCTGTACTGGTAGAATCAGTTGTAATCAGCAGTGTTAAGTGTTAATATAATATCATGACACTATTGTTATATGATTTCCTCTATGTGATGTTCTCACTAGTGTTTAAACCTAGGGTAAAAATCCTCTGTTTTCTGTACAATTTTACCATCTCGGTGAAAGATAGATAACAGAAATTCTTTAAAAAGCTAATTAGGGTACTGAAGACATAGTTGGGGATAATTTAAGGGGGATAATCAAGCAAATTGTTAAAATAGTACTCCGATGAACATTGAATATGTTTGTGGTATAGAACTGTTCACTAATTTGAAGAGAAATTGTGTAAAAACCTTGAAAGCTTAGTCAGTAGAGCTGCAGATGATACTCTGAGGGTCCCGGGTTCGAGTCCAGTCAAGCTGAACATTTTTATCACCCGATGACATTTCAGAGAAATATCCTTTTCTAAATTCTCACAGTATGTCTGCATATACATGGATGTATGTATCACAAATGATTCATTAACAAAAAAATTGAAATCAAACTGCTATCAAGTATCATTTCAATGCAAACTATGTAAATGAAGGCAACTAAATTTACATAAAGAAAATTTATAATTTACAAGCATCTCACCTAGTTGGCACATGGACTGGTTTAGGTTGTTTTTTAAGATATTCTTTGAAGCGTAACTCGAATGCCTGACCGATGGTTGTTATAACATCTTCTGACAGTCCCCCACCACACTCCAACACATGGCAAGAACGACCGGTCATCTCATCTTTTGCAACATATGCCACAAAATCTAATGTTTCCTATTGTAAGTAAAAGTAATAAGTAAAATTTAATAAATGCAACAGAGAAATGAAAATCAGCTAAATTATACAGTATAAACAAACAGTTAATGCAAATGCAACAGGGAAATACAAATCCATAGATTTGCACAGTATAAGCAAACAGTAATATTTCTATCATGAAAGAGCCCACCTCTATGTCTAAATATGACACCAGTTTTGGTTTTTCACGAAAATGGAGATTTAAATACCGTCACAAACAGGGCTCTCGATTGACACGGGGATCCGGGTTTTGACTCGTGAAAATCAGGAAATGCACAAATTTGACACGTGATAAAAACTGCTCAAGAGTCAATTTGCCAAGTGGGATTTTCAGCTATGCAATAACAATTACCTTAAATCCACACCTAATTACCTATTAAATCCTACACATGTTCAAATCACACTAAAAAAATGTCACCCGTGTGTAATACACAGTATTGTTTATAGCCTGTGCACTGAAGCGCGACATCATTGGATGCAATTTGACAGCGCTAAAAATAACTCTACACAACTGATAAGAATTACATACTTGAGGTGTCAATTATTGATTGCTTTTAAAGGTTTATAATAGGTCTTTGATTTACTTGGAGTGCCTGTAAATTTGTTATTTTCCATTAAATATTCCTAGTGCATTTTGGTTTTTAAAATTAATATGATATATAGCATACCAGTAAAGACATTTCTTTATATTTTAAACTTTTAATCAGAAAAGCTGCTGCTTAATTTATTCTTTCACAGTAAAGATGCTATTCATTTTTTTTATTTGTTTTTTTTGTTGTTGTCTGTTTTCTTCTTCTTTTTTTTTCTTTTTTTTTTGTTAAATATTATCAATTTAGATTTGAGAATCTACACAAAATGACCTCCAAAACAGTAATTTTTGTAACATAAAAATGATTCATGTAAACAAATGACACTATAAAAAAATTATTTGACTCATGAAAATTTTAGCCAAAGAGTCTTTGACTCGTGAAATTCTGACCCTTCTGAGAGCCCTGGTCACAAAAAACAACAAAAATTGTTCTCTGAAGACGAGAAAAAATATGTATCTCAACATCTGATTATCACAAAATTACAGTTGCATCTGTTGAACTGAGAAACTTATAATCTTATATACACGAGAGCTTACCGCATCACCACCTGAGGCGAATGAAATCCCTGGCATTAAATGGTCAGCAATTACCTGAAAAAATAAAAATTAACAAAATGTCAATCTTATGAAATTACATCTGTAACAGAAAAAAAATCCTACCCTATACAAGTCCGGATTTGTCAGTTTATCTTTTAATCCAATGCTTTAATCATTTTACCAAAATTCAAAAAATCAGCAATTGATGGTTAAGGAACATACATGAAAATGTTACCAAATCAGTGCTGACCCTGCTGTGTGGGTCATGACAATAGCTCCATGTTTTAAAAAGGAAGAGGAAAAAAAAACACTTAAGAACACTATGTGACCGTGATTGATCCTGATTAAATTACATATAGATCTACCCCTCCTTTTTAAAATTAAAATCACACAGAAGATTCTTTAAAGCAAACACAGCCTTGTTTAAATTCTCATGCTTTTCTGACTATTCAATAAAATGTTATAAACAACTGCCTTACCTCTCCTGATTCCATGACCATTAGGTTAATACTGTCTACTGTAATTGTAAGATTGACATTTGACCCTGCATACTTCATACACGGTGTGTCACTCAACATTTTCCCTATACGCTTGTCAATCTATAATGGTGACATTTTTCATTAAATTGATTAACACTAGGTTTAATATATTATTTGGTTTTTAATAAATGTAGGCTAATGAGAAAAAAAAAAATTTTCAGACTTAGTTAGAATATGCTTATGACTATAATATATCTAATTGAGAGAAAAAATAAAAACGTTATTCTGTAATTTTTATATGATACCTGCCCATTAGAGTAATTATACTACTCGTTGGGGGGAAAACACCAATGAGAAATAGTATTTTATGCTCATTTTGATTTATGCAAATGAGAATAAGCATAGAAATAAACAAACATTTTATAGATGCTCATTTAACCATTAATAAAATGCTGCAGCAAAAAGTTATTAGCCTTTGCCTCTAATTTTCGTATTTTGGTATTTAAATTCCTTTAATTTTCAAATGGACTGTTGCAAAATCAAAACAGGTTGCACAAATTTAGAGAGTAAAGGGTTAGTAATACTATTTTATATATTATGTCTACATACCTTTTTCCTTTTTGTTGCTGTTTTCAGTCCTGCAGCCTCACTTACTCTGTTGATAGCTTCTCTGTAAAAAAATGATATCATTTCTATGTAAATATGTTAATAAAATCACATACAAATTTTAACCATTTCTTTCTTTTTCCAAATAGGTATGATACTATTAACATTTTGACTATCAACAAATGCTATATTTGGCTATATACATAGGGGAAATATGAAAAAGAAGTAAAAAATCTAAAAAAAGAACAATTTTTCAAAAAAAAGAGTTCCGCATCCCTTCTGGGAGTCCTGACACAGAAAGGGGATAGGCGATCTTTAAAACACAGACCCTAAAAACCTATATATAAAAGTTTAAATTTACTTAAACTGCTGTAACACAAATAAGTGAGAACTATAGTGAGTGAAACATACAGGACAAAATTTATGATTTAGCATAAAAAATTGTGCTCACAAATTTTTGTTATGATGTATATAGTGAGCATGAAAATGATTATTAAATTTTACTTGATGAGCAAAAATTTAATGATTATAGTTGTTCAGACTGGGCATCTGTCAATGATGTGATGCTAAGATAGAATTCTTAGGTCATAAATGATAATGTCTATGATACTTGTACAATTATAATGTATATGACATATAATTTTTATGATTATGCAGCATTTTTATTATACGCAGGGTTTTGATCATGTTTATGCAGGGTTTTGATTTTTATCTGAGGCAACAGATGTGACAACGAAACGGATTTGGCCAAGGGTCAAAGTGGATAGCTTAATTTACAGGCTAAAAATACAACCAATTTAAACATCATTTCAACCCATGATATTGATTGTCAATCTGTAAATAATGAAAACCCTGATTATGGTATAATGGATAATTAATGCCCATAGATGACAAATATGTATGATTCTTACCTTGCAAGAGCTGTTCTTGTGTCAAAATCTAAGGCTCTCATAGATTCTTTCACCTCCAAACAACCAATATACTGCAACATATAACACATCACATATTCTAAAGTATATTTTACACTTCATCAATATCAAATTAATTGAAAATATATTAATTTAATAAACTCATACATATTGGAAGTCACCATAACATGAAAAACAAGAACTGTCAATGGAAACAGACAAATGCTCCCCCCCCCCCCCCAAAAAAAAAAAACATGGCCAAGTAGAAGAACCATGATTTGCATCAAAAGCATGGTTTACAATAAAAAGAGTGTTACAATTCACAATAATCAGACATACAAGTGTGATCTTGACCTTTGAACTGCAGACCTGAACGCTATGCTCATCCATCCATTCATCCATCCAACTAACTATCTTCCTTTAATGTCAAACCCCTCACGGGGACGGCCAAAAGTTCTAGCTGTACATGAGTCACATACGGCTAAACAGAACAAACTGAATTGCTAACCATACAGCACTTTTCAAAATTATATGAAAGTCGAAAATGCATATGTCTTTAAGCGAGGATTTCAACCAAGAAACAGCTATTGTCTTCGTGTGTTAACTTTTTAGAGATAAATCGCCATGTCAGCTGCAGTAAAGAAAGTACGAATATCGATCTTTGTCATCTCCAGACGGCCAGAAAAATAAGAGCGTTTAGTTGCAGTGAGTTGATTAACATCAATTGAAATCGTCTACATAATTATTAGAACAAGATATGTTTGTAAAACATGTATGCCCCCTATCAGCAGCCAATTAGTCATGTGATAAGGTTATTATGCATGACTTCTGACCCAGTGATCAAACAATTAATAAGGGTTATCGAGTATCTACTGGTCATGAACCAGTTAACCTTTGACCCCTTGACCCAAAACTCAATAGGGGTCATCTGCTGGTCACGACCAATCATCATACAAAGTTTGAAGTTCCTAGGCCTAAGCGTTTTTAATTAATTGATCGGAAACCGTTTTTATCTTCAAGGTCAATAAGACCTTGACCTTTGACCCCTTAACCCCAAAATCAATAGAGGTCATCGGCTGGTCATGAACAATCACCATACCAAGTTCGAAGTTCCTAGGCCTCAGGGTTCTTAAGTTATTGATTAGAAAGCATTTTTACCTACAAGGTCAATGTGACCTTGACCTTTGACCCCTTAACCCCAAAATAAATAGGGGTCATCTACTGATCATGACCAATCACCATATCAAATTTGAAATCCCTAGGCCTAAGGGTTCTTTCGTTATTGATCGGAAACAGTTTTTACCTACAAGATCAATGTGACCTTGACCCCTTAACCCCAAAATCAATAGAGGTCATCTGCTGGTCATGACCAATCACCATACCAAGTTTGAAGTTCCTATGCCTTAAGGTTCTTTCGTTATTGATCAGAAACCGTTTTTACCCAAGAGGTCAATGTGACCTTGACCTTTGACCCCTTGACCCCAAAATCAATAGGGGTCATCTAATGATCATGATCAATCACCATACCAAGTTTGAAGTTCCTAGGCCTTAAAGTTCTTTAGTTATTGATCGGAAACCGTTTTTACTTACAAGGTCAATGTGACCTTGACCTTTGACCCCAAAATCAATAGGGGTCATCTACTGATCATGACCAATCACCATACCAAGTTTGAAGTTCCTAGGCCTTAAGGTTCTTTAGTTATTGGTCGGAAACTGTTTTTGCTTACAAGGTCAATGTGACCTTGACCTTTGACCCCTTGACCCCAAAATCAATAGGGGTCATCTACTGATCATGACCAATCACCATACCAAGTTTGAAGTTCCTAGGCCTTAAGGTTCTTTAGTTATTGATCGGAAACCGTTTTGCTTACAAGGTCAATGTGACCTTGACCTTTGACCCCTTGACCCCAAAATCAATAGGGGTCATCTACTGATCATGACCAATCACCATACCAAGTTTGAAGTTCCTAGGCCTTAAGGTTCTTTCGTTATTGATCGGAAACCGTTTTTGCTTACAAGGTCAATGTGACCTTGACCTTTGACCCCTTGACCCCAAAATCAATAGGGGTCATCTACTGATCATGACCAATCACCATACCAAGTTTGAAGTTCCTAGGCCTTAAGGTTCTTTAGTTATTGATTGGAAACCGTTTTGCTTACAAGGTCAATGTGACCTTGACCTTTGACCCTTGACCCCAAAATCAATAGGGGTCATCTTCTGGTCATGACCAATCACCATACCAAGTTTGAAGTTCCTAGGCCTAAGGGGTCTTTAGTTATCACTCGGAAACCATTTGGTCTACGGACCGACGGACCGACAAGTGCAAAGCAATATACCCCCTTTTCTTCGAAATGGGGGCATAATAATTCTTTTATGTTTCAAAATGTTTAATTTTCAAACACCTTTAAAATGACAAGAGCGATCAGTAATCACATGTGTCGCCTCATGATGGCCAATTTCATGTTGGGACAAATTTTGTGACAGACGGACAGTGCACAACTAGACTTGGTACTGATCATTCCTGTAAAGTTTGGATGAAATTGCACCAATAGTTTATGAGGAGTAGTCCGGACAAGCTTTTGTGTATCTGGCAACACACAGAAAAAAACACCTTTTTATCAAAGGGCCATAACTCGGCCAAAAATCATTCAACCAGAAAACCTGTGCAATATGCGCAAGGACTTGAGCTACAGATCAATCCTGTAAAGTTTCATTGACATTGCATTAGTGGCATAAGAGAAGTAGTCTGGACAAACTTTAAAATTAAAAATTATTAAAGGGCCATAACTCTGACAAAAATCATTGAACTGGAAAATGCTGACAATATGCACAACTAGACTTGGTACTGATCATTCCTGTAAAGTCTGGATGAAATTGCACCAGTAGTTTATAAGTAGTCCGAAAAAGTTTTGTGACGGACGGACAGACAGTTGACGGAGAAGTGATCCCTATATGTCGCCACTACTCCGAAGAGGCGACACAAAAAGCAGCATTTAACTCTAATAATTGCATCAATTACTGACAGTAAAAGATTGTCCACCAGTAAGGAAAGTTTCCATGTTCTGTGAAACGCATTTTTGATGTAGGCTAATTGATTTTGATTAAATGTTCGATATTTATCTATTTAAAAATAAAATTATACATAAACACACGAAGACAGTGTAATATTCTTTATATATCTTATATACTATTAAAGTTGGTCCATGCGATTCACAAATGTGAATATAATAAGAGAAAAGACACAGGTGTGTTCTAGTCAGTTTTATTATCTGGACTGATGCATTGGCGGGAAATCTCCCAAGATATAACATTCTACAGGCACAACGTGGTCAGTGGAAATTTACAGAAATGAGTATTAAGGTTAAAGGTCATATGAATATAAAATAACTCAATATCATTACATTTCCCTCTTTTTAAATACATAGCTGCATGGTATCCACATGTTAATAAATCATAAAGGAATATGGTTCAATTTAAATAACGTTAGAATAACACATGTTTAAATATCAATTAAGTAATCAGTTTATATAAACAAATATATGTTTATTCAAAAAAAGTATGTGTTTTATTCCATATATATTCCACATTTATATATTTTTTTTTTATAGTTTATTTTTTTGTTTGTGATGTTTTCTTATTGGTAAACACTCAGTATTTTTTTTTTTTTTTCAATTGTTCACCATGTTCTCATTATAATATCGTTTGTTCAATTTCACTTCCCTGCCCCGATCGTGTGTGATAATAGTGGTCAATTGGGCTGGGCTTATTGGAGGTCAATGAGTGGTCAGCATCGTGTGATTCTGAAATTTTTCCATTAATTGAGGGAGTGATAGGGTTATTAGCTAAAATGTTGGGGGAAAATTCCTGAATTTCTGGGAAAGTTTCTTCAGTTTATTAAACATTCGCCTATTTCTGCGGTAAATGCCACCTGCATGAGTTATTACAGAGTAGGAATTCGGTCATTGTGAATTTTTATATCACTTTTGCTGGTTTCCCATGTTTTGTTGACCTTGATGCGGACATACTCATTAAGTGAAAAGAAGGGGTAGTTGCTTTGATGTTTTATCATAGCAACTTTTTGTTTTCTGCTTTATTTTCTGCATCTTTTCGCGTACCTGTTTACAATTTACTGTTTTGGGTTGTAACTGAGAATTTGTGGTAGGTAGAATAAGATTTGTTTTTCTAACCCCATTAAAGTAATTGATTTGGTAAGAAGCACTTCATAAAGGGGGTTTTCCTGTCTCAAAGTATCGGGCGAGTTTTAAGATCTGGGGTTTACTCTCCCTGAGCTTTCCTGAATAAACCCCGTTTAATAATCGACACTTTTTTTTGGCCCCCAAACCCAAATTTACTGTTTGGGGGGAGTGGCGGGATTTTTATTTGGGGGGGAAAACCCCAATTTTTTTGAAAAATCGAAAATAATTTTCAAAAAGATTTTTAAGGGCCCCATTTTTCCGGGGAAAATTTTTTCACAAAAATCCCCATTAACCTTTGGCTAAGTGAACTTTTAGTTTTCCAAATGGGAATGTTAGGGTTTGTTTTGTTTTTATGGGATCTCCCTCAAAGGGTATTTTCCCCCAATTAGCGAAAATCACAATATTTCTTTCTGTCAAAGAAGAAAAAAAATTTACCCGGGCCAATTGTTTTGCCGGGGCCCGGTCCTCCCGGGTCGTGGGGGTTTTAATGGTTTTTTTGCTTTTGGGGGGAATACCTGTATTTTTAAAACATAAACAAATTTTTAAAAAAAATAAAATTTGGTTAAATTTCTTTTGTCATCCCCAGGCCCAAAAATTTCCCTTTTTTACCCCTTTGAAAAACATTTTTCAAACTTAATGCCTTTGGGTTTTGCACTGTTTTTAAAAATAAACCTTTTTTCCTTTGCAGTCTTTTATGAATTCTTTTTTCCTTTTAAAATAAAAGGTCTTTTTCAGACGAAATTCCCCCTGTTTTTCCAGAACTAAATTTAAATTTCTTTTTTTTTTACAGTTTTTTGCATGAAAAAACGGCCACCCCCTCAATAATATTCTTTCCAAAACCCCTTGGGGCATATCTTTGTCTTTGGGTTTCATTCCCCTATTGTCCAGTCTTTTATGGGTTTTATGTGAAACCCTTTAAAAACTGTATGTCCCATGAAAGGTCGAGACCCTCTAATTTGTAATGTTTTGGGAAGCATTTTGTTAAAAATTTAATCACTGTTTTTTTGGTACTTGTTTTCCCAAGGAACGTGGCGTATCCAAGGGGTTCCTATTTTTTTTTTAACTTAACCGCATTTTTTTGGAAGTTCGGGGGAAAAGGGCAGACAAACTTTTTTCCCCATGTTTTGGGTAATGGTTTTTGTCGGGTGTAAAATTTACTTTGTCTCCCGGTAACTAGGGATGAAGGCGGCAACCAAAAAAAAAGAAAATTTTTTTAAAAACCCTTTTTTTCCTATTTTTGGCAAATTTAAGATTCGTCTCTTTCAAGGGCCCTAGAATGAAGGAAACTGGGGGCCTTTTTGGGTGAAGGGCTACCACCCACCTTTTCGAAGAGTCAGTTTAAAGGGAGTTACACTCTGTTTTCGGGTCAAAAAATGCAAAAACCCTGGGGTACTTCGTTTTTTTTATGTTTTTAAATTTTCGAAAATGCTTCTTCTGGGAAAAAATCCCAAAAATTTTCCTACATTTTTCTTAGTGGGGATCCCCGGGGGCTTGTACCCTGTGGGTTTGGAAGAAATTTTTGAAAGTTTAATTTGAATACCAAAACTTTTCCAAGTTGCGGGCCCAATTTCCCCGGGGTTTTTGGGGTTCTTTAATTGCTCTTTTTTTACTAGGACCCTTTTTAACCCTTTTTGTTTTAAAGGTGCCCAAAAATGGGACTTCATTTACCCCCAAATTATACTTTTTGTCCGGTGAATTTACTCCCTTAAAAATTGCTCTTTAAAGGGGGTTACCAATTTTGCCTCATGTTTTTCCCAAGTGTTTTCCCTATATTTTAAAAATGTCATTTCCATGGTTTTGCCCCTGCAACCCTTCAAAAATTATTTACTTTCTCCCCCTGAATATTCACCCCCTTCCCAATATCCATATGGGGGCCCTTAAACCCAACGGTATTGCGCAATCCCTTTGTAAAGGTTTTTTAATAAGGGAAACTGTTATAAAGGTTTTTTTGCCCCAGTACTTTTTAATGCCCAAAGGGAATTTTTGGATTTGCATTTTATTGAAAACCGTTTAAAATAAGTAGAAATTAGGGAGTGAGGTCCCTTATACCCCCCAATTTAAAGTTTTTTTGGTTTAAAGGGAAACTCTGATTTAACCTTTTTTGGGTTTTTTCTACAATGAAAAGGGAAATTTTCCCCCATCCGTGGGTTTCCAGTGCCCTTAAGTTTTTATTACCTCATTCCCCAGGGCGTTTGGAGTTCTTCGTGAACCCTGTTCCCTTAAAAGTTTCCCGGGACTCGCCTGGGTGCTTTTATTACGGGAACAGCATACCTTAATGTGAAGTGTACTTTTCACCTGGTTTGCCCCCTACCCTTTGGAATTATTTCCCCTTTACTTGACTTTGTCCTTTGTTTACCCTAATTTTGTATTTAAACCTTTTTAAAATTAAATATGGGAGCTTTTTTCAGGCCTAAGTTTACAAAAACATTTGAAAAATTTGGGAAACGGGGGTTTTCCAAAAAAACTTCAAAAACCAAAAAAATTTAAAAAAAAATATCCATTTTTGTTTAGGGGGCCCCAATTGAAAATTTTTATTATACCGCAAAAAGGTAACATGTTCCTTTGTGTACGATTTTAAAATTTTTAATTTTCCCTTGCGATTTCAAGAGGTTTTTTTATCTTTAATTTCCATAATGGTTTTAAGGGTTTAAAAAATTCTACCCCCCGTTTCCCAGTTCTATTTTTTAAATTTTAAAACAGGAATTATGGGAAAAAAACCCGAAAATTAAGGAACAAACCAGTTTTTCGGATTTAGAAAAATGAAAATTTTACCATAAAAAACCGAATAAAACCCTGTTTTTCCAATTGAACTTTTGTCCTAAAATTTGAAATTCAAATATTCACATTGTAAGTTTTTTTTCTAATTGAAAACCCCTGAAAAAAAATTTATTTGCCTTTTTTCCAATGCGTAACACTTGAAATGTTAAAGGTGGAAAATTTTTTAAACCCGGGTCTATAAATGTTTTTTCCCAAACACGTTGCCCTTTTAAAGGGGTTTTCCCTTCCATTTTTTTTGAATGTTTTTTGAATATTTGGGGTTTTTGTTTTTTGTTTGGGTTTAGGTTGGGGGAATGGTTGGGTTTCTTTATTTTTTAATTTTTTAAAATTTGTTGTTTTTAACCAGGGGGTACTTTCATTACCTGCTGCCTTTTGTTTTGAATTGTTTTTTCTATTCGTGTCTTTCGATTTAAATAGCTTTTTTGGGAGTAACGAAATTTCCCTTTCCCCTTTTTTTAAAAACTTCTCTCGAACAGGGATGTTTTTTAAAGTAAATTTGTTTGCATTAGTCTTGTTATTATTGGAGTTAAAAGAACTGATGCATTGGCGGGAAATCTCCTTTTAAAATTATCTTTATATATTAAAGAGAAAAAATTTTGAACAAATATAACATTCTACAGGCACAACGTGGTCAGTGGAAATTTACAGAAATGAGTATTAAGGTTAAAGGTCATATGAATATAAAATAACTCAATATCATTACAGACAGGGCTTTAATGAGAATGCATTTATTTTTGAATTTGATGATACCAGCTTTTTTGGTCGTTATATGATTATTTATTCCATGTGCTTAATTAACAAATAAATGATTTAATAATTCATCTTTCATACAAATAAGACAACAAATCCTTAATTAGCATTAAAAACAATGACATTATAACTTAATATATTTATCATTTTATCATAAATATAACTTTCCATTCACATATACAATGAATGTACTTTGAATAGTTATGCGTCATGTAACTTTGACACATTTATAAAGATGACGCTTGTATTTCCATCATATTCTTTTTTACAAAATGGCGGAGCATCATTATTAAAGTACACATACGTGGACAAATGCGGTTCTTGAAAAGTGCCATACAGCTAGACAGTACAGTGTATTCTGGCTAGCCGTACAAGACTCACATACGCCTAGTACTTTTGGCTAGCTGTAAGGCTAACCACTTCCTTCTTTTTATTATGAACGTTGATCTAACCACTTTAGATGACTTATAAATCATATATACCCTAACTCCATAACAAATCCCGGCACCAGCTGCAAGCTGCTCATCCGGATGTATCCAGCCACGTTCTGGTTTATGAAGAAATGTTCCGGTACGAGACCATTCTACAGACATGTTACTTCCTTTCGCATTGCGCTTCTTGAATTTATCTACTACGCTGGCCATTCTGAAATTTTAGACAGCCAATAGATCTATTTAAAAAAAATCATTTCTATTTTAACTGTTTGGATGAAAAAAGTAAACATGCAAAATTCAATTTAGAACAGCTGATCAATCAATTCTTTTACTATAAATATCTGAAAAACCAATAACTTACAAGGTGAAAAATATTATATTCAAATATTTCGCAAGTGACAAAAACCTATATTTACGTGATGATTTCTCAAAATATCATGACAAAGACAACAAAACAAATTGAAAAAATCGTGACATTCTTTCTAGGAAGTAAATATTGACTAAACGGTGCGTGAGAACTTAACGTTGTAAAATTTTAAAATCTAAACATTTAGTTATATTTGGCCTTTCCTACACTACCCGGTTTTCCCGCTCAAAATGCTTTTAGGGAAGTGACATGTGACTGCGCTGCAGACGAATGATTGCATTTATGATTTTGTGATTTTCTTCTGTTTGTTCGGACCTGATCGAACTTTAGCGAATGTCCGGTTTTTAAAATTTAGAGGATTCTGGATTTCAGAAAATTTATACCTTTATTGATCATTATGATGTGTTTGTAGAGTTACATTGTTTTATTATTTTTATAATTATTATAGCTAGATCTATATTGTATTTTTATTAATATCTGGAACAAAATTAATATTTTTTGTCCCAGTAATTATAATCTTACATGTAGCTTTCTCTATTTGTGTATTGAATACTTGCAATAAAGTACTAGATCTATAAATAGCAAAATGTTTAATTGCACCAGCTTACTAGCTTTTCTATTTCATATAAGTAGATCTATATTATTGTGTGCATGCATATATGATAAAAAATGGGGTTATCCGCAAAGGGGGTTTAAAAAGTAAAAAAAAATGGAAGAAGAAAAAGAAACCGTAATCATTATCCTTACCTTTTAAATATAAGCGCATTAGATTTGACAGATTGTATTAAGAGTAGATCTAATTGTATATAAAAATCAAATATCGTTAAACCACGGATTTATTATATGTAATATAAATCCGTGGTTAAACATAGTCTTCCCTGGTAAAAATAAAGCATAAGTTTACAGCATGCCAACACATACACATATGCTTTTGGTGATACATTTTTCTTTAATATTAATAAAATTGTACATGTATATATAGTGCCTCTGATATTATGCATTTAATATGCATCTGATTATTTGATTAAAAGTACCACGTACTTTTCATAGTTTCTGGCGCAATGCATTAATGTCCAGCTGAATAATAACTTATTTTTATCTCCACACAGTATATGTGAACGCGTAACAAAACGAATTTGTTTTATGTCTTAATTGCTTTTTAGTTGTTTGTTTTGCGTTAAATATATTTACAGATGATAGAAGGTATAGATTCTAGATGATATCTGCTCATTTTGCAAAATATATCTTACCAAGAACTGAAAATTGTTAGATATACAATGTACATGTATAATAGAGCGCGAAGTCAAAATATTTTTATGTAAAATGTGTTGGGATTTGTTCTCTTTCCATAACAATTTAACAAATACATGTATATGTTGCTGATAGAATCTACGTGAGATTCGAAAGATACAAATGAATATCTCGATTATTCATTGGTTGACACGTTTTATATAAATCGTGAGAATTCCCCCTCTTTAGCGCCTATTACCCTCCAGAGGTTTATATGTAATTGTTTACAAATCAACTGAATTGCAGACATAAGTCTTTTAACATTAAAACCAGACATTCATGTTTTTGTTTTAAAATTATATATCATTGTTGTATACATAGTATTAAAGTATATCTTTCAGACATTTTTTTTACCATATTTACATAATTATTAAAATCTGAAGAAACCGTTTTTTGACTTTTAAATGTCATCAGATCCGCCATTTTCTGTGTGTGAGCGTGCGTGCGAGCG